CAACTATATTATATTTAAAAAGAAAGAAAAATAGTGCTAGAGACGAGATTCGAGCCCGCGATCCTCTGTTCTGTTCGACGCCGCTGTTCGAGTAAATATTAATAATATAAGAAAATTGCTACGATAAAAATCTAGAACACCTATATTTCAGTTAAAAAACGAAAATAATTTTTCAGCCATGCTCGAGTCGAGGATCGAACCTTGGATCTCTGCATTATAGGTCCCTTGGGATTGCCAAACTGCGACGTGGAAAAAATAAAAAAATATAAAGTCGCTGCATTTACATAATCGTGCTGCAGGCCTTCGGCCTGGACAAGGTAAAAATATGCTTTGGAAAGGGCTGTTTGTAACAATGACTTCTTTGTGTGTTATAGCTATGGGTCAAATGCTTTGACACGTGTTTGATTGGTAGTACACTATTGGTTATCGACCTCATTAAATACTAATGAGTTTGACAGTTCATTTACATATTTTAAAGGCCGTAAGGCCTTTACTCCCATGCCAGTGTTTACATTCAAGATCTGGATGCTGCAACTGATTGGTCCTTAGATATCAAAGCGATATTATTAACTTTCCGATTTTTTCTAACTTGCGTTTGCAGGTCATTCAAGTTGAACTTGAATGCCGATTAAAATGTCTGATGTTTAAGGATAGAAAATAGGTTGATTTAAAAAAAAAACTGATGTGTTTTGTTGCTCATTATCAAAATATAATAATAGGCTTTATGCAATGATAAAAGGAAATAGGTTAGCCACTCCTGGTTGGTTTTCGAATTATTATATGTATGTTCAATCCCTATTGACCTCCGGAGAGGCTGTTTAAWGGTCAATTTTACCTGGAAATTGTTTTCCTCTCCTGGTATTGGTGACTGAAAGAAGATCCACSCTGGTGTAAGTGATGTAAATCTAAAAATAGATATCAAATTGCTCTGGTTTTTATAAAAGATCTCCAGTTTTCTTGAACTATGTTTGTTCATGCTGCTCATCCAGAATCGTAAACACTTCCATCCATSTGATTTCGATCTCATCAATGGGCTTGATATCATGTTGGACGCATTGCCTTGTAAGGCTAAGTAGAAGCTGTTTTCACCTATGATAAAATGACATTTTATATGTGGTTTATATGTGGTTTAGTGCAATTTTAGCAAAGTTATTAGACCCGAGCTGTAATGGCTAAACGACAAATAATCCCAGTCCCCTCAACCCGCTGTCTTACGCTAGCCACACGCCTTATCACTTTGCTACTTATTTCACTCGGCCTTATAATCCACACCAGTGATATCCAAAATCTCAAAAGTGATCTTTCAATCAAGGGGCGGCCTTAGCTAAGCGAAAACTCATTTGCTTTACGCTAGCCATCGAAAGCACTTAACGAGACTCTAAAGGGAAGTTTGAGGAGCCGGAGTCGATTGTTCCCGTCTCTGAAGCCGTACAGAATCCCCCAGTGCTGACCGTATCCGAGGAGGAGAGGCATTCAATCGTTCAGGAGCTGGTTATGGCGATGTCTGTCAACGCAGAAACCGCTGCAAGCTCGTCAAAGGATGTGTACAAGGTATGTTGTCAGTACCTGTACAGYCTTCCATATCAACCTTCACAATAGCGACCTTAAGCAACAATAACGGGAATTCCCAGTGCGGGTATAATCGGAAGTGTTTTTTTATTATATTTGGTCATGTGCAGAATTGKTAATAAGACGAGTGTTGGAGTTTGTAGTGAGTTCCAGTTGTCCCGACTACGACCACGTTGTTCTTCAAAATGTTGCTTTATCTCTGATACAGTAATGTTTTTGAGGGAGAAAAATGTTTCAGAAAACTAACTACAACACGTTTGATAACTCACTAGCTCCTATCAAATGGACAAAATCAGCAAAATCGGTTTTTCAAGATTCGTCGTGATAAGTCGATTTTGGTCGATTTAATTATATTTCATACCTTGTCGGTCTTTATGCATTGTTGGCACCCATGACTTGTCTATTTTCATTTGACAGGGTTGATAACGATCAAAATAGCAGGATGGATTAGCTATAAACACAGCAATACACACTTTTAAATATTAAAATATTTAGAAAAAACTGTAAAAGTTCATAATAATTAAATTGAGCTACCGGTTTATCAGTATACGCTCTCGATGGGTTCTTCCCGATATAACTGAGTCTAGCTGATTGACTAATGTCGTTATTTTACCAAAGTAAGCCTCTAAACTTAATACTGTAAGGTAGTATCTCTACAGCCGACAGCCCAAAAAAAAGCAAACAAAGCGGCTTATATACGATCAATCATCTTTATAATCACTTTTAAAGCTTTAAAAGCTTTATTTATAAGCTTTATTTATTTATTTATCTATTGATTGATTGATGGATGGATGGTTGGATGGTTGGATGGTTGGTTGGTTGGTTGGTTGGGTGGATGGATGGATGGATGGATGGAGTGACTGACTGACTGATTGATTGATTTGATAACAGCTTAAAAGCTACAACGTTGGACAAAAATAAATGAGAATGTTGTAAGTAAAAAAATCATTTTTTAAAATCATTGCAACAAGATGCATATTAACCCAGACCACCAGTCAATGCATTTTGTTCCCCGTTGTAGACTAGTGCTATAATAATATGTTAGCGGGGATAACCTACATACTTTGTGAGATAACTTGAGAACAGGAAGTTGCTATAAAATTGGAGTCATCAACCGCTAGAAATGCTTTGGCGTAACCAACAATTTGCACCTAGAGATAACAACGAAATTAGTCTTTTAATCAAATCTTACTCACCGCCGGCTCTCTTGGAGTTATTTGTCAGGTCTAACGAATTGTTCTTGTGATTTAAAGTACGTATTATGCACTAGTCAATTGAAGCTGCCGCCCCCTCTGATGCCCGGGACTAGCGGGACAGTGAACGGGGACGTGACGCATATTTTACGTGCTTTTAATACTCTGAAAGCATTGGTATTAACCCTGTTTTTGTATTTGCTTTTTTTTCCTTGCGTGAAAATTAAAAAAAACTCATTACACATGTTTTTCTTCATCCAGTTAGCCTCATGTATTACACGAATGAGTACATAGGATTGTACAAAAATTAACCCTGTGAATCACAAAACAAATTAATTGAAAGGTGTTTGTTTTGTTATTTACTACTAGAACAAAATAGCGGGGCAACAGTAGCGGGGACTTTAACAATGAATGGGAAAATGTCTTATTTTATTACCATTCAAACGTTAAATTCCCCGGAATTCCCCGGTGGTCGGGGGTCGGGGGTTGGGGGTTTCACTTGACTAGTTTAATACTTTCTGTCGGTTTGTCATTCAACAGCACAGGAATGCCCTATATCTCTGCAATATAATGGCTTCGTTACTGCCCGAGGCCATCAAGGTRGTTATAAATGCATGTTATCGCCAATATCGTATGTGACTCGTTCATGAGATCTAATCGGTTGATTTTAATTCAAGGTTAAATTCTCTCTATAGTAGCCAAACTTCTTGTACTCGTCGCTGACGTTTATTTACATTGATACTACGTTAATTACAAACGAACGGTTCCTAAAACGTTACATTACAGAAGTCAATAAACGAATAATACAAAAAAGGCCAAAATACGAAAAAAACTGAAAGAATACTTACAAGATAGTTTGTAGTGAGTTCCGTATATTCCAATATAGATGGTTTGACGTCATTGTTTTCAGTACGGAGATACATTATGGTTTGGCATAAATGCAATGTTTTCCATCTGAGAAAATTGCTTCATCAAGGTAAAAAGATAAACGGAAATATATATTGTATTTTACAATTCAGGCTTTGCCAATTCAACAGCATATTTCTTCATCCTTGAACAACATGCGTTACATCCTCAGCAAGAGTTCTAGCTTTAGAAGACTTGGCYATCTATTCCGTTCATCATGAGCCCGCAATGAGCCAGCGTTTGCCCCTATTGAATGTTTCAAAATTTTCGAATTACCAAAATCCATATGAGATTTTCCGGGTAAAATTTTAAGAAACCACTAACCACTGAATCCTTACGCTCGTTTGTTTTAGCTAAGTTTTGATGTTTCCTATTTTGCGATGAAGTGCTCTACAAATTTTCTTAAATTTGATCATCAAAGAGAAGTTTCATAGTACATGTTTTTTTCAAAAATCTCTTTTGACACACTAAAACCAAGACTTTCAATGAAACATGTTTCGTCTATTGATCCTTTSAATGAGACATGAAAACAGCTTTTCTGTTGAGGCTTGCAAATGCCTGAATCTTAACGTTGATATCGGATACCTATTGTTCAATCTTTTGTCAATGAACCTGCTCATCTGTTCCTGTCCAATTGTAACGTATAGTATGTAATGCATCCCTTGGGATGTAATGCAAATGTAAGTTATGTAAACACTACACAAATAATCAAGAATTGTGATCTCGGAGGTCAGTTGAAGTAAAGTGTACAAGAGTGAATGGTCCGTGTGTTAATTTGTGAACTCGTTACATTGGGGGCTCAGACGTTGTAAGTCATGGAAGAAATTGTAAAGTTGGGCCATGCTCTTGGTTTAGAAGGAAAGGAGTTAAAAGAATTCGTCGAAGAAAAGCTGTGTGAAGAGAAAGAAGWCGTGAGAACGAAGAAAGAGAGGAGAGAGCTAGAGAGAGAGAATTGAGTTGGAGTTAAAGAAATTAGAAGCACAAGCCGCGGGTTCTCGACAGCCGCCACCAGACTCTCGTACAGCTGCAAAAGCACCTAAACTACCATCTTTTATCGACGGTAAAGACGACATCGATAGTTCTTTTACGCCGCTTTGAAAGGTTCGCTACAACAAACCGTTGGGACAAGAGCACGTGGGCTTCGAACCTCAGTGGACTACTTACCGGTAAGGCGTTACATGTTTACTCTAGATTATCTGATTCTGATGCTGTAGATTATGATCAACTTAAAGAAACATTATTTAAACGTTATAACTTTACCGATTGAAAAACAATTTAAATCGCTGGGTTCAATTAGCTAACATTTCTCATACGTGCATCTCTTTAAGTGATCTTTTTGTGAAAGAACAGTTCATAAATAGTTGTCCTAATGATTTGAAAGTACACACACAGGAGAGGGCGCCTAAGGATTTGGCAGAAGTTTCTGAAATAGCTGAGAAATTCTTGTTGGCCCACAATAGAGATTTAGTCTCCCCCGTTGCTCGTTTTGGGAAGAAACAACTCGATGAAAGTCCCGAGTCCCCGGGGTACCTGATAAAGTTTTCCAGTGTTTTAGATGTCAAGAATATGGGCATAAAGCGTCTTCATGTACTAAGGCTCAAGGAAAGTCCTCGTCTGCTCAGCCTCTACAGTGTTACAAATGCTCCGGATTTGGACATGAGGCCAAAGTTTGTCCTTCTCGTGGTCGACCTCAGCGTGGTAATCATGGTAGGAATGTATCGTTTAGAGGAAGTCAAGATGTAGGAGATCGGGCAGTGAGTGGTGGATGTTTAACTAGTGATGTGGAAGTGTTGTGTGATAAGAACATTCCCTTTGTGAACAGTGTGTACGTTAAGCCAGTAGAGGAAAAGGCTACTATGCCAGTAGTAAAAGCGGGAAGATTGCTGATTTAGAAGTAGAAGTCCTAAGTCCTAAAGTGTGACCTTGTAGAACATGAAATCAACCTGACTAGTGATGTACCAATCAGGTCCAAGCCATATCCAGTACCGTACCATAGTCGTGAGTCCCKTAAGAGTGACATAGAGGAGATGCTAGACCTTGGGATAATAAGAAGAGAGTCTAACTCTGCGTATGCTTCACCAGTGGTGATTGTAAAGAAAAAAGATGGAACAAACTGTGTGTGTATTGACTACAGAAAGCTCAATAAGATAACGATATTTGACCCAGTTGCCATGGTTACAGTGGATGACTTGTTATCAAAGCTCAGTCAAGATAAGTGCTTTTCGAAGATTGACCTTAGCAAAGGTTATTAGGTAGATATAGATAGATATGTTTAATCATATCTCTTGCAGTATAGACTGAATTACAGATAMGGGTCAGAAAACGATAAATTACACACTTGACAAGACTACATACATACATATAYGAGGAATAAATAATTCAATGTTCATCAGTCCAAATTCTCAGTTCTTAAATAATATGTCCCGGGCATGCCTGTTCGTCACCAGATTCCTGTTGCAGCCAAGGATGTTCACAAGACTGCTTTCGTTACCCCGGATGGAGCGTATGAGTTTCTCAAAATGCCWTTTGGGATGATCAACGCAGCAGCAACTTTGATGACTCTTTTCTGAATCAACAAGACTGTAATGACTGTTGTGACAAACCATCAGGCAGACAAGCACTAGGTTTCTTGGTAATTCCGACTATCCCTCCTTTTGTCTTAGAATCCAGGTTTTRACACTTTAACTAAACACTTTGCTCTAATGCCATATCAATCCAAAYTTGATTGAAGGGATTACATGATCTTCTGACTGCTTGATTTCTTTTCTGAAACTCTTTGTGGATTCCGGGTGCCATCTGGAGTAGCTTGGACGGTCGATGAAGAAAAGTGTGGTATCATCTCTGCCACAGGTGCCTGCGATGGGGATTCCATCGGACCTAATGAATCGCAAAAGAATCTCTACCGTGCTGATGTAACTGTCCCAAAACTGAAACAATTTGGATTGCAAATGGGTTTGAAGAGTGTCAATGGATGAACTTATCATKCGCTTCAATTCTCTCTTCAGGGCTTGTTGTTGATTGAAATTGTGCAAGATCTGAAAGAATTTCAACTCTATTAACTGCTTCATATTGATCTTTCTCTCTYCTAAATCACAGACAGAACGCTTGCCAGTGAACCTCAGCAGGGCTTCCATAACTAACTTGTCAGCTCTCACGCATCGATCTGTTATAGCATTTTCCTTTCAGTACAGCTAGAGCACTATTGCTGCAATACAATTCAGAATCAATCAACAATTCTTCTAGGCCACTTTCCTGAAACCTTTTTCCCAATAACCGAATGRCAAGATGATTGAATTCATCTGCACAACTCCATTGAAAACATTCCATCCGGGAAAGCCGTTGCTTTTTCTCTTTTTACTTCCATAATATTACATCACAAGGATGAGATATTAGCGACAACCCAAGCCAAGTTTTTCCGTTATGCTGCAGAGCGGAGTCCCTGTCAATACGAGCACCTTTCTTCATTTAACTCTCCTCGGAATGATGCAACGTAGAATGACGATATAAATACATCTACACAAACATTTCATTATTGAAAATGATAATAGAAAAATGTAAAATCATAAGAACTCATAAAATACAAAGCTTTTTTAAAACTAAACTTACAGAAATTAGTTTATTACATTAACTTGATCTGCCATCCCATAATATATCTTCGTATTGAAAACATCTTCAGCCTTCTATAAAACTCAATTGTCTTCTTACAGTTTTCATAGCTTCGTTAAATTTATGTTTTTTACCAAAATCTACACACTTTACATTATATATTTCCATGATAATCACCAAAAACGACAATGCACATTCAACCTTTGAATTTCAGTCACATACCCTGAAYAGCATTTGAATAGAAATTTTATCTTCACATCTCCTGTAGAAGATATTTCTTGCCTTAAATTAGCTTAATTGGAAAAATGTTAAACTTACACTTCCACCTTTATCCCCAGGTATCTCAACTTGTCCGAAATTCCATTCATGGTCTRTTGTAGCTRGCGGACTCCAAAGACAGGTGGTTGAATTCCTTATATCTTGATGGCAAACTTTTATTGACGATTTAGCAGGGACGATGTACCATAATTGCATGCAATAAGGCTTTGTTTGGTTCCATTGCATGGATAATGTGCTGGC